CAGGGGCGTCCCGAGGCTGGGTGACACCCGGAGTAGTTACCGGGTGTCACCCCGCCGAGACGCCACCGCGTGCAATGACGTCATCGCGCACGAGCGGCGATCTTCTGATACCTGATAGAGAGGAGGGGACAGTCACCCGGTGGGATAAGGTATGCTGCCTTTTCAGAGGGGGGTGACAACAAAATGACTGTCAGTCATTTTGGTGTCCCTCCAATGGTATCACCCGGGTGGCACCCCCGCACCCACCTTGTGACGCCTCTGCACCCGAGCACAGCAGGAACACGCTTCATGTTGGCGCACATTCGTGTTCCACATTTGCGGTGCGTCCCCATTGATTTCAATGAGTATCTGTATGCATTACAAACATGGAAAAGTAGTGCAAGTAGCAACATCTGTGACATACATTCAGTGTTTTTTTTCCTCCATGTTTGCACGCCTTTTAACACATTTTCTGGGCACGTTTGGGGTGCCATTAGCTAGTGAGTGTGTTTTGCATTTTTGAAGCATTTTGTGAATGCGTGAATGGGGACTTACCGGGCTAAATATTCCACACTATGCTACTACTCTAAGTCCCAGTTCACACCTGAATGTTTCGTAGATGTACGTCATACGCACACAGAAATTCACGCTTTGACGCACCTTCACGAAACACATCAAAAACACAAAGTGTGTTTGCAGTGCTATTATCTGCTAATGGCACCCTAAATGCGGCCAAGGAGATGCACATTTCCCCCCGCATTTGCAGATTTTGCTACATGCACTACTTTTCTGCGTTTGTTGCACGTACAGGAATCCATTGAAATCAAGGGGGACGTGCGGCAAACGCAGAAAAACGAACATGCACCAACGTGACACAGGTCCCTGCTATGATCAGTTGTGACTGTGGATTAAAGGAGAACTATGGGGTTAAGGCTTTTCCACCTTAGCTTCTCCTTAGGGTAACGGGAGGACACAAACCAGCGTCCTCCCGTCACCCTAGGCTCAGTATACCACGAGCTGTAGCTCGCGGTATACTGAGACGCCGCAGTATACCGCATGCTGCTGCTCGCAGTATACTGAGACGTCGCAGCTGAAGCGGATCCCGACAATTGTGCCGGGATCCGCCCAGCTGCGTGACTTACAGCTGGCTCTGCCTATCTAGAGGAGGAGCCAGCTGTCCCCGCCCCCTCCCCCGTCCGTTCTGCCAGTCAGCGCTGGAGGATCGGAGAGGGGAGGGGGGAATCTAGCCCCTGCCCTGTCACGGCGGAGAGCCGTGACAGGATCGAGAGGTGAGCGAACGCCGGTATATGTTTGCTCACCTCCCGATCTACTGAGCCGACCTGTGACAGTCTCATTGTCACAGGTCGGCTAGAACTATGAGGTGAGTGAAAAGCACTCACCTCATAGTCCTCCTTTAAAGTTAATCAGCGGCCAACACTAAATATGAAAACACACAATAACAAGAGTGAAAAAACAATAACAATGTAGCGCTATACAAAGCAGTAGCCAAAATATTTTTACATTGTGAATAAAACAAACACTCCCCCGCCGGTATCCCAATTATCATAGTAACAGTGTAAAGCTTAAACTGCAACAATTAACATTGCCACAAAGTATACTATATCCAGTGCTTCCTCACAGTCTTTATAAGTGATCCAAGTATGTGAAAATACAATAATGTGAAAACCGTCTCTGATAAAGAGAACATCCATTGTGTTGTTGAAGCAGAATCCAGTGCAGAATCCGCACCCACATGTACACACAATCCCACTCACCTTTTATGCTTGACCATGACTAAAGCATTTTACTATAGTCTCTAGCACCTCCCCTATAGAGGTTCTGCAGGGTGCATTGTGGTGTGGTTCATTCTAATGGGCTGCCTACTGCAGCTAAATCACACTCAAAAAAGTGCAAGCACCTATTTTGAAAACATTGCATGGTAATAAGTTACCATGTGATGTGATGCAATGAACCTGCCATGGCTAGGCGTGTTAGGGTGCCATTAAGAAATAATGGCACCACAGTACTGCTAACATTGCAGCATGCGATTCAGGATGGCGTGCATCATCGGTCATGCTCCCGCATCACCAAGGTGTGAACAGAGCCTTATATAGCCCCACGTTTTTACAGCTATTTACAAAATAAAGGGAGACTGTAGAGTTATGCTAGCCATACACTCACAAAAACAACTGATTCTCCCATCCATGCTAAGCAGTGTGGATCGAGGAATCTCCCCTGCTGGTTATTGGTTTCTGACGGCCGGAAACCCGCAGGTGTCCCGCAAGCTGGGACTCCAATAATGGTGTTTGCTATGTGGCTCCATCATACATAGAGATAGAGAAGGCTTGTCGCACTCCTTACTGGATATCCCAGCAGTCGGGTCAATGTAGGCCAATGCTATGCCTGATAAGGGACCCTGTTTTGCGTCTGTTTTGCTTGACATGGTTCTAACTAAATTAATATTTGGTGACCCTAAAGGGATTTTTGGTTTGCTGGTGACATTCCTTTGTATTTCACTGCAAAGCTGCTCATAGACCTTAGTTAATGGATTGCCGCTCTCTGCACTGTCCAGCCATCTTAAGACCCCCTTCACACCTGAGTGATTTAAAACACGTTTCCAGAAGCTTTTCAAAGCTCAACACTCCGATTTTCACGTTATTCTATTGCGCTTGTTCACATCTGTCGCTCAATTCTCAAAAAAGTACAGGAGCTTTTTATAGGGCATGATTGAGTGCTTTTGGCCTCAAAAGACTTCAAGGGAAGCACCTGAAAACATAAATTTTCCACACAATTTCATGCCAAACAACCATTTCCTCCTCCTAGTAACTAGCATTCCATTGACTAAATCAAAATGTAAAAAAAAAGTGTGGAAAAGGCCAAAGACACCAACACTCAAGTGTGAATGGTGGCTTAAATATCCCTGGAATAAGCTGATTTCCCTTTCCCAAATAATAACGAAGAGCTAAATGTATGATTGCAAAGATTATGCATGCTGAGGAATCTCATTTTGGTGATCTCATACTTGGCATCTGTCCTGTACATAGTGTAAAAATCTTACCTTGCAGCATGCCGTCTCATACACATAACGCCAGGCACTGCGGGGAGTGAGGGATGTGAGTTCAGTCACATCCCCACCCCTCCTCACTACTGGCCCATTGACAAAATGCCTTGTATTTTTCCCCGCCCCTCCTCTCTTCCTCCAATCACAGAACCCTTTTTATTCTTTGAGAAAAATACAAGGCATTTATTGAGTGGGCAAGTAACATGGAGGGGTGGGGATGCGGCTGGAGCATCCAAGGACCGGACAGTGCTTATCTCCCCTCTGGCTAGTAGAGTAGATATGCACGTGCTAGGCATAGCCATAGAGTATAATGGCCCAGTGCACCAAGCTGGGCAGTTTTGTTTTCATATGGCCATATCTGGCATATACCCGGCTATGTTATTGTTATCCCATACTTGGTATCTGTCACTTTTCTATGTTATCCTATCTTCTGCTATTTTCATATGAATGAAAATGTTATGTGTAAAGCCACTCTGTGCTGGCTGTATTACCATCTATAAAAGCATTTAAAAAAAACGCTAGTACATAATTTACCAGGCCAGAATGAAAGGGTTAATGCTGTGAAGATATGACTGGAATGTAACAATAAGCACATTGTACAGGATAGATGGGAAGCTCAAAAGAGATGATTAGAATGGAGTTTGGAACAATAGGACCCCCTGCCCGTTTTCACTGCTTTGAGCTGTAGAGGATGCTTTTAGACTTTAATACCATTTCATGCTGCCTAGTCAACTGTGTGACAATGCCTGCAGCTATAGTGTAATTGGATTTCCTGCTGTTCATCTAAATTCCACTGCAAAATAAAATCATGGATTGTATCAAATTTAATTTAGTTCAAATTCT